GATAATGCTGAGACTTAACCCCGAAGCCACCAAGCAGGTGGCCTCCTACCTGAGCTCTCTCAATGAACTTTCCTGAACATGGACACTGGATTACATTGCACCATTTTGTTGCCCATGTCCTTGAGCACCCAAATGCCATGGGCAGATATCACCTATTCCTGTCCAGTCAGTGATGCTGGGTGCATGTAAATAAGCGAGGAGCACTAATTCCAGTGTCTGAGACTCTGGTTCCACTACTGACTTATGAAAAAGTCACTTCTTTCTAGTTTCTGTTCAATTAATAGCAGGAAAAATAAAGCTCTAATATCATCATCTATAATAGTGGAATAAGTGGGAAAGTTCAAAGTTTCTGTCCTTTAGACATTCCAAGATAAACTACTATCTTGTAGCAGAAAAGAAGATTTAAAGGTTATTGTTAAGCCAGTGCAAACCCAGGCTTGAAATTAGATTATCGTGGAAACACTTTCTTTTCAACTCTTTACCTTCTACACACCAGACCCTGCCCTCGATCTTGGCCATACAAAGATGACTAAGACTGTCTGAAAGAACTTCCTGTCTCACCTAAGGCATAAACATGTAAACAAATACACGTGAGTCATAGATTATGAATCATAATGGAGGAAGAACACTGTCATGGATCTTAGTAAGTCTCGAAAGTAACAGGTTTTTCATTGGTTTGAACACACAAGAACCTATGTGTACAAATGAAGTTTTCTTTAAAAACTTTCACCTTGGGAGCAATCCTCTTAAATACAACTACTCTTCCTAATCCCTCTCCTGGAACAATATCAAATGAAAATTCATATAAGAAAATGCCTCACTATAATGCCTTAGGTATAGATATTAATTTTTAATGATGCACACCTAAAATTAAACATAATGCCATGTTACTTCAACAACAAAAAAATTTAATTAAATAAAAAGTTTGAAATACAGAAAATCTTTCATTTCTTTATACCAATAGGTAAATATAGTATCACCCTGCCTATCCTTGCACCATGAAATACACTGTTGAGGGGAGCAGCAGGCAAGACAGGAGAGGTCTGCTGCACCATGGGGGTTAGTTCCTGGCCAGGGATTGATTTGGTAATGAAAGACATTTTTGCTCTACCAGGAAAAAAAAGATCGAACTCCTCTTTGAAAGAACAAGGTCCTGTCACTTTTAAGGATATTGAAAAAAATACGTAAGCCTCTGAAGGGAATTAAATCTAACAGCTATATCTGCATGGTGAGCCTGTAAAGCCTACCAGGTGGACTACTTGGAGCAGGTAATTCTCAGTTGACTATCAGACAAGTCCCACTGGTTATAGGGGGGCATGTTTGTCTACTTGTTTCCTTCTGTAGATTAACTTTGATGCTTATAATTCTATTTCAAGTGTGTCTTCATCTTCCTACCTAGCAACCCAAGTCATTGAGGTCAGACTATCCTTCAATTCTGGATGTGTTAAGTGCCTTAAAAACATAGAGTCTCAAAAAACAAAAAAACAAAACAAAAAAACCCCATAGTCTCGCAGGCATTGAAGGGAGTTTGGGGGTGCTCCAAACCAGGGCCTATGTCAAATTCTCAAATGAGGGACATACTGTAGAATGTTCTAAATACTTTTTAAAAAAAGAATGGGCCTCCCCGGTGGCGCAGCGGTTGAGCACTGGGTTGCAAAGCTGCCCACAGCCTCTGCAGCGCCGGTTAGATCCCAGGCCACCGGGTGAGGGTCCCACATGGCGAGCAGACCTCTCCTGCTGCCCGCTGCTCCCCTCAGCAGTGTACTTTGGTCCTGCTGCCTGTTCTGCTCCCTGTTCTGGCTCTGGTGAATTCTCTCACCCTCCCACGCTTCTGACTATACCCAGTGCTTGTATAAACAAACAAACAAACAAATACATACCAGAACTGGGGTACAGGCCAGAGGTGTGGGGGGTGAGAGGATTCACTAGAGTGGGGTTCAGAACAGGCAGGTCACTTCACTTTCCTCACTGCCTTCATGCCCAAGTTCTTTCAGCATGTGGTTAATAATGAAACAAATTTTCACCCCATATGACTAAGGTCTTGAGACAATGGTTGTACACCTTCCTCTCTTCCCAGCACTGTCTGTTTCATAGCCAAAGACTTAGGAGTTCCTCCAAGGTAAGCTTCCTGGACACACTTTGTCTAATCAAGCAGGGTGCCACTAACACCTGTAGCTCTACCCTTTCCACTGATTAACCTTATCCAGGTACAGGCCTTGTATGACTACAAACAAAATCTTTAGTCTTTGGGATCAAACATCCAAAATAGAACAGGGAACATGGTAGTTGGGGAAGGAGGGGCAGGTGATATCACAAGAAATTTTCAAGATTCCACAACTCAAATATTCACATATCACACTCCTTTCACCAAATTTCTCTTAAATTCATTAGACATCTAACTTCAGGAAGGTTAATGAGTACAAAAGGCATTGAGTGGGGCTATAGTAGTAGAGATAGCTCAAACCCACCGCTACTCCCTTCACTTCAGGAAAACACACTGCAGTGGCATTCCCAGCAATAGTGACTGGTGAACACTTAACTCAAATAGCTCTTGTCCCCTTCTGTAAATAAGTGAGTGTGAACACCACGCAGACTCTCCAGAGCCTGGTTTAAAGACTGATGTGAAACGCTCCTCAAGAGTTTGCCTCAATTTACCAGATCACTCAGGTCTGCAAAGGTGAGGGAAGTCACATCCTACTAATTCCTGAGTACCCACAGTGAGGTACTTTTATCAATCACTGGGACCTAGTTAGACAAGCAGAGCCTCAGGCCCCGCCCCAGAATCTACAAAATCAGAATCTGCATTTAAATGAGGTCCCCAGGTAATTCATATGTATGAATGACCTTTTCTCATTAGGGCAAGCTTCTCAGCCCTGGCAAAGGGGTGAGAGAAATGGGCTTGGGAAGAAGACTGTGCCTTGGCCAACTGAGGCTGACTGGGTTTGCTGACTTTGGCAGAGTCAGGCCATGTTTCTGTGGGTTGTGATCTGCGAGCTGTGCCTGGACTGTGGGACACCCTTGTGAAGCAGAGCTGGCTTTAGACTCCTGGTGCTGTTAGCTTTCTTCCAGTTGGTCTCAGAAACTAAATTATACAGTGATGCAGAAGACGTTCAAAGAAAAGACATTTTGCTGTGATACACCAGATCCTCCATTCCCATAGTCTATCAGAGATCTCTATAAACGGAAGCCCTGACAATTACTTTTTTTTTTTTTTTTTTTTTTAAAGATTTATTTATTTATTCATTTATACAAGCACTGGGTACAGTCAGAAGTGCGGGAGGGCGAGAGAATTCACCAGAGCCAGAGCAGGGAGCAGAGCAGGCAGAAGGACCGAAGTACACTGCTGAGGGGAGCAGCGGGCGGCAGGAGAGGTCTGCGCACCATGCGGGACCCTCCTCCAGTGGCCCGCAGAGGCCGCAGGCAGCTTCGCAACCCAGCGCTCAACAGCTGCGCCACCGGGGAGGCCCCTGACAATTACTTCTAATCTGTCCCCCATCTAGTAACAACAGATGAAAAAAGGCTATTGCAGCCTGCCTATACCCACTCTGAACAGATCAAGCTAAGGTCCACACCCTCACTTGAAGGAATCCCAAAATTGTCCTGGCAGATGCATTGTGGCACTAAGAATGAACAATGTGGACTACTGTGAAAGACCCAGCAGTGAAAGACAATGTGCACCAAGAATGACAAAAAAAAAAGACCTGCTGGGTACTTTTCTTTGGATCACTTTTAATAAAGGAGAGAGCATTTCTCCCCTCTATGCTTGGCTGGTATTTCTTATTCAAGTTGGAAAAAAACTTTGTGACACTGGACAATGGACACTGTTCTCAAGCTTTGGGGGCCTCCTGAATGTGTTCCGTAGAACAAGGCAAGGTGGTTGAGCAAGAACATCCGAGCTCCTTAACAGTTCTAACATTGTTTTGGATCAAACTGCCCCAAACCTCGGATCTGGCAGTGCTCCCTGGTGGTGGACAGCTGCCTGAGGAAATAAGCATGTGACCCCCGAAACCAGACAGACGATTAGGCTGCTGCGCTATGGTCTGGTTCTGCCGCAGGCTACCCAGAGTGCATGGGTGCCTCTCAGCACCCAGGATCTGATGGGAGTCTTTGAATAGTTGGAATTCAGAGCTGTGGAGCGGCGGGAAGGGCAAAAGGGGGCGGATAGGAGGGAAGTGGTGAGCCACGAGGATTTCATCATGCAAAACGGAGGGCCGGTTTCATCAGCAGCTGTGCACCGGGCTCCAGGGCTAGGAGGGAATGCCCAGTTCCCGAGGGCAGCCCTAGGCTGGCCCCCACCCGTGCCAGCTCAGCTTCCTCTTCCTCGTCCACTCTGAGAGAGGTCACACTGTCCCCACCTCCCCCTCCGGACTGAGGAAACGTGTCCTTCTGCACAGCCCAGTCAGTGACTCCAGGTCCCAAGGCAGAGATCCCTCACACAAAAATAGACAATCTGCCACAGATGCTGGGAGGCACCGCTGGAGCAGGCCAGCACCCCAGCCCAAAGCTCCGTCAGAGGGTGCGGACCTAATGCAAAACTTGGGGTGCCTCGGGAGGAAAATGGATTATGCAGGAGCCACTTAACCCCAACAGAGAACGCCATTCCCGTCCCCTAAAAGCCCCAAGCCGGGCCTCTCCTGGATCCCTGGCCCACCCAGATCCCAGCCTACCCCGCCTCAGAACAGCCCCCAATACCCACAACGGGCAGGACACCTCGACATGTGGCAGTCCTGGAAGCTTGACCTGTCTAGTGGGGGACACCCGTCTGCGGCCGCCGCTCTGCAGGACAAACCCTGAGGGCGGGCAGCTAGGCTGCCACCCCCTCGCTCCCCCGGACCCCCGCGACCCTCGCCGGCTCACTGATGCCCCTTATCGGTGACCGCGCCCCTGAGCCTGCTCGCCCCGTACCATCGGGGGCTGCGGATCCCTCCGGCTCTGTGGAGTCTGTCCTCCCCCGCGCCGGCACCCGGGGCTGGCACGCGGAGCCCCCAGCCCGCACCTACCTCCCGGGGTGGTGCTGAAGAGCGTGCCGCCCGGGGTGGTGCTGTAGTCCCCGGGCGGCAGCTGCACGCCGTCGCCGAGGACAACTCGGCGAGTGGCCGGGATGGCCCGGCTTGGGGTCTGGCTGCAGCTGCTGCCCCCAGACATGGTCTCCCGCGCGCTGCGCCCGCGGCCGGAGTGTGGCCCTCCAGCCCCTCCAGCCTCGCCCCGCCCCGCCCCAGACCGCCCCTTCCGCCCGCGGAGCTCACCGCCCCCTGGGATTTGTAGTTCCCGCTGTGCCGCACGCCGCCCCACCCTCCCCGCAGCGCCCCCTGAGCTAAGCGTCCCCCGCAGCCCGGGGTCCGAGGTTGGCACCGACCGTCGCACGCGTGTGGGGCCCAGCGCTGCCCCTCTTTGGCCTGTTCCTTTCGTTTCCCAGCTCCTCCCGGCTACACTGGCTGGCACGGGAGGAGGGAGGGGTCTGGGGCGCTGCTATGCTCCGTGCAGGTATCCTAGCCTACCCAGCCCATCCTGGGAAAGCCTAGTTTCTACCTCAGACCTTCAAGTCATCAGCCCGGATGGGCTCTTCAGCCCTCCCTGTCTCGTGCTTTAGTTCCTCAGTTGGGAAAGTGGAGCTTCGTTGGCCACTCATCCTCGTGGCTTACCAAGCATCCACTTCGTGGCAGGTTTTGAAGAAATGGCCAAGAAGGCAAATTCTGTGAATTCAGAGAGGGTGCGGGAGGAAACAGAAACAAACCCCCCAGCTGTAAAGTTCTTCACTCACAGGCACGAATGGGATGGTCCTTTAGGTGGTAAGTGCTTTGTGAGGTTCACCAATCCTACCGAGGGGATGAAGACATGGAGGGGCCTGGTGAAGTTGGCGAGTGGCTCAATGGCACAGGGTCGCCAAGGACCAGCAGGAGAACTGCTACTTGGATCTAACCAACCTTTGTGGATGTGTCAGTCTCACTCAAATTGGAAATTTGAACAAAGTTTAGTAAAGGGAAGATTTACAATGGTGTGGGCTGGAGGTCGGGAAACCACAGTACCTGAGCCTGAAGACCTGGGGGGAATGGGGGTCCGGGTGAATAGGAGGTAGGTAGGGAGAGAGAGAAAGAGAACAGGAGAACACTATGGAGAGCCACACAGGAGCTGTCACCTTCAGTCCTGGCCACACACAGAGGGAGCTAAGACCTTGCTGGCCTCCTGCCATTAGTTCCTGATAGACTGCCTGGTTCCTGATAGACTGATACACCTGAAAGACAAAGGATGAGGGAGTTCGCTAACACTGCTCTATAGGCCAGCCTCCTGGGCAGGGAACAGGGCGAAAGAGGGGGAGAGTGACTGTAAAGGGGCTGCAGAAGATCCCAGTACAGTGGAGTGGAGGGAAAGTTGGGAGGGGGTGTGTGGAGCAGTCCAGAGAAAACCTTGGTGTCAAATAGAGTCATGTGTGTGTGCATGGGCAGGAAGTGTGTTGTACCCCCTGAACACCCTCTCCATGGTTTGGGGTGAGGGTGCTGACCCAAATCCACCATGCCCTTATGGATGAGGTGAGGAATCAAGGCCCTCAGTCTCCACAGGTTTCTTCCCACCTCCAGAAATACCCTCTCCACTGGTAGGTTAATGCCTGAAATTTTCCTATTTAAGCTTTATTAACTAAAAATACATTGAGACAAGCAAAATTAGGTGTTTATTAAAGAATCAAGACTGAGGGTTGGAGCCTGGGAATGGCTTCCAAATAGCTCTGGGAAAGCAGCTCTAATTCTGAGCTTCTCAGGTTTATGTATCTATGCAAAGTTTTCTTCAAAGATAAAGAAATTTTGGGTAGGAGTCTGTTTACGATATCTACCTAGCCTTGACGATGAAAAGGGTTGCTCAAATTGGCTCTGTTTAGCACCTTGTCCTCTGGGAACTGGAGGTTTTAGAAACACCATAAACCTTGAAGTTGGTCTTTCTATGAAGTTACTGATGTGTCTGGAGGCAACTGTTTTCTGGTGCTGTACCCTCTTCACAAGACCAGGCCATCTGTGTCCTGATTCTTGGCTTGCGCCCCTTAGTTGAGACCAGGGAGAGGGGTGCCCTCTTAATCGTTGGTTTTAGTTGAGTTTTTCTTTTAGCTAAAGGTTCTGATAACTATAATCTTGGTGTTCATTACACTATAAGGAAGGAAGAAGGAAAAAGAACACTTACTGAGCTCCTATTCCGCCTGCACTGTACAAGAGGCTTGGCATAGACAGAATCACTTAAAATGCACCACAACCTTATAGGATGAGTGTTATCAGCCAACTTCCATACCTGAGGAAAACAATGCATTAGCCTACTCGCCTCATAGCCCAGATTTAAATATTTTTATAACCTGCATAGATAGTCCTAAGTGTACATACTTTACCACCACCCACTGCAGTGATTTCATTCCCAAACTTCGGAATGCTTCAGCTGAACTAAGGAGCTCGTTTTACTATGAGGAGAGCTGGAAAGCTGTTTCCAAGAAGAGGAAGGTTACAGTGGAAGCAAGGTTGGTGTACTTGTTAGCTCAGGCTGCTAGAACACAATAGACAGATAAACAGATAAACATAAAGGACGGATGTTTGTCAATCACAGTTTGTGAGAAAACATGCAGTGAAAAAAAAAAACGGAAAGAAAAATATGGGTGTGATGGGAGAGGGATTGGCTGAGACTTAATCTCCTAAAGCTACTGTAGGGCATGGGAAGTGATAGGGGAACTCAAAGATTCTCCCCTGGGGAAGAGTGATTTGTTGGGGGTGTTCAGTCTATGACCTGCTGGGCTGGAGCGCCCTCTAGTGACCATCCTGCGAATCTATAGGTTTTCTTTCGTTTTGCTAAGACCTGTTCTTTCGGCAGTAACAACCTTGTGTCCTTTCACTTACTCAACAAATTATTATTGAGAGTGTTTTTGCTGGCACCATAAGGGAAATCGAGGGTATGTGACACAGCAGATTTAACTTCCTACTGTTTGGTGACCAATAGGGAAAGGTACCCTCTCACCTTCTCCGTTCTTGAGCCCAGTCTCTCATTCATATCAGACCAACAGAGGGGGCTGGTTCCCAGGCTGATCAGCCTGTGGTTGCCTCGGGAGATTTTGGCTGCCCAAGCTTTGCCTCACTGCCCCTTTGGTTCCTGAATTGACAGCTCTGCTCTTGTCCTCTGTTTTTTCTGGTTCTAATTTTGGGTTAGAAGGAGGGTCTTGGGGAATCTTCTTATGAGGAATTAATCACGTCAGGAGATAAGGAGATGATCAGCCTTTAATAGTACCCTAGAAGAGAGTGAGCTGTGACTATGAAGGTGTCTGCAATAAAGGTCTCCACTGTTTTCTTTTTTTTTTTAAGATTTATTTTTATTTATACAAGAGCCGGGGTACAGTCCAGATGTGCGGGAGGGTGAGAGGATTCACCAGAGACAGAGTGGGGAACAGAACAGGCAGACTGACGAAATACACTGCTGAGGGGAGCAGCGGGCGAGACAGGAGAGGTCTGCTCACCATGTGGGTTGTTGCTCCGAGGCCAGCGGGGATTAAACCGGCACTGCAGAGGCTGAGAACAGCTTCAAAGCGCAGCGCTTAACCGCCTGCACCACCAGGGAGGCCCAAGGTCTCCACTTTTTGAGTGATTTACTTTTACTTGCGCATCAAAGAAAGAGGGACTGACATCTTGAACCACAGGCTTTTCCATTTCTGTTGCCAGTCCCTCTGTGACTTCGTGCAAGTAAGTTCCTTCACCTCCCAGGCAGTTTCTTCATAAGTGGTAAGGGATGTGGGACTTGGTGGTATTCAAGATCCTCTGCAATTTTAGATTCTATAACTTTAGATTATATAACTATAATCAACTTTGTGATTCCAGTGGACAAAGTGGTTTCAATAAAAATAAAAAGTTTCCTCCCCCCTCAAGGAGAATTCTCCAGGCTGAGATGATTTTGCTGGAGAATTCTTTCAAACACTTAAAAGAAGAATAAACACCAACTTTATACAAATTCTTCTAGAAAACAGGGCAGGAGAGAACACTTGACAGTTCATTTTATAAAGCTATTATTTTTTTTTAAGATTTATTTATTTTTATACAAGAGTGGGGGTACAAGAATACAGAAGGGTGAGAGGATTCACCAGAGACAGAGTGGGGAGCAGAACAGGCAGATGACAAAAATACACTGCTGAGGGGAGCAGCGGGCGCGAAAGAAGTCTGCCTCACCATGTGGGATTCTCGCTGGCCAGCTGGGATCAAACCTATGCTGGGGAGGCTGCAGACTGCAGACAGCTTCACAGCTCGGCGCTCAACCTGCTGCACCACCGGGGAGGCCAAAGGCTAGTATTATCTTTATACCAAAACCAAATAAAGACCAGAAGTGAAAAAAAAAAAAAAAGGAAAGAAAAAGGAAACTATAGAACTAACACCTCTCATAAAGTTAAATATTAGCAAATTGAATTCATCATTATAAATACAACATAGACATAAAAAGAAATATGTACTATGATCAAGCAGGATTTATTCCAGATAAATAATCTGATTCAATAGTCAAAAATCTACCATACCAAGTGGTCAATAAAATTTAGATATTACAAAAGTCTACTGTATAAACAAATTTAAGAAGAAAAATCATGTAATCTTATCAATGGTTCAGAAAAGACATTTTACAAAATCCATTCTTTCTTTTTTTTTTTTTTTTGTGGGACCCTCACCAGTGGCGGGGGAACAAACTGGCACTGCAGAGGCTGAGGGCAGCCTTGCAGCCCAGCGCTCAACTGCTGAGCCACCAGAGGAGCCCCCTCCATTTTTTTTTTTTTTAAAGATTATTTATGCACACACAAGAACTGGGGAATAGGCCAGAGATGTGGAGGGTGAGAGGATTCCCCAGAGACAGAGTGGGGAGCAGAACATGTTTGGAGCAGAGGAGAAGTACCACAACTTGACAAAGAGCTTTTGAAAAAAACTTCAGCCACCAGATAGTTGATGGGGAAAGACAATACTTTCTCCTTAAGATTGGAAACAAGGCAGAAATGTCTGCTCTCACCCCTCTTATTTAAAGTGGAACTGCAAGTTCCAGTAGCCACAATATGGCAAGAAAAATAAATGAAAGGCAGGGCTTCCCTGGTGGCGTAGGGGTTAAATCTCAGTGCTACCACCGCAATGGCCTGAGTTTGATACCTGACAGGGAGCTAACCCACGTGGCTCTTC